TTTTTTTTTTTTTTTTTTTTTTTCAACGCAAAATTATTAACATTATCTTTTGGTAGGTCTGGCAATCACGCAGGTAATGATGCTGACGGGTATGGTGCAATGGGGCCTGCGTCAATCGGCCTAGGTATCGAATCAGTTAATGTCGGTGGAACGAGTGCTGGAATACACGAAATTGCCACCCGAGCCCAATTTACGAGACAATGACGTTGTAATGAACAAAAAGAAGAAGAAGAAGAAGGTGCAAGAGTCAGAGGAGAAGCTGGTCGAGGTGCCAAAGGACTGGCCCAGCGATGGGTGCATCGAATTCAAGGCAGTGTACATGAGGTACACGGACGAAGATCCACCGGTACTTAAAGGCCTGACTTTGAAGATTCGACCGAGCGAGAAAGTGGGCATAGTCGGGAGAACCGGTGCCGGTAAGTCATCCCTCATTTCCGCCCTGTTCAGACTGGCCAAGGTCGAGGGTATCATAGAAATCGACGGCATTGACACCGGGACTATTGCCCTCGAGGACTTGAGGAAGCACGTATCGATCATTCCACAAGATCCCGTTCTTTTCTCGGGTACGTTACGCCGCAACCTCGATCCTTTCAACGAGTTCGAAGACAAAACCCTGTGGACGGTCCTGGAAGAGGTAGACTTTTCCCCCATGCATTATCACATCCTTTTACATTCTGTACCAAATGTCTGTGATGAAAAACGTGTGTTCTTAGGTAGAAATGAAGGACGCGGTCGTGGCGACTGGCAATGGGCTGGACAACAGGGTGATGGATCGCGGCGCGAATTACAGTGTGGGACAACGACAGCTCATCTGTCTAGCTCGAGCTATACTGCGCAATAACAAAATTTTGATGCTGGACGAAGCCACTGCCAACGTTGATCCGCAAACGGACGCTTTGATTCAACGTACCATACGCACCAAATTCGCCAAGTGTACCGTATTGACGGTAGCCCACAGACTTAACACCATAATGGACAGCGACAAGGTGCTGGTGATGGACAAAGGCAGACTTGTGGTAAGACATATGCTTGATAAATGCTGTCGTTGTCAAAGTTTTGGATGGTGATGATTTTTTTTAACTCCTTAGGAGTACGACCATCCACATGTGCTATTGCAAAATGAATACGGACCATTTTCTCAGCTGGTGAGGGAAACTGGTAAGACGATGTACGAGCAGTTTCGTAAAATCGCTGGCGACTCTTATGCATCCAAATGTGATAGCGCAACCCTATAGAGTGAGGTTGCGAATGAAAAATCTTAAATACTTTATTACTAATGGATGGTCTTTATGATAAAAGAACGAAAAAAAAAAACAACAATTTATCGATTACATTGTAATATTACATGAAAAAGGGCATAAATTTCATACGCACTAATGACCAATTACATTTAAAGTTTTTTTATAGTATTTTCATGTATAAAAGCAGAAATTTGAGCAATTTTCTTCGTAATATATTGAAATGTGCTCAATGCCTGTATATTTTTACAATAAAATACTTTAATCGCGTGATTCAAATACTTTTGAGTGTATATAAAAAAAAAAAGTAATAGAAGAATATTACAAAATGGTTACTTTTAAATGTAAAATAAATATTACCAATTTTCGTATGAAGTGAGCAAGGGAGTGGGTGAAATTTTTAAAAATATCTGTGAAATAAATAGCACATATTATGTCTAATGTTTATATCACATATCATGAATTTTTTTCATAAAATTTAATGCACTTGGAAAACAACTTTTTGTCCAGAACGATCTTGACTGAAAGATTTTTATTTTTTATAACGATATTGAGAAAAAAATTTTAACTTACTAAAAACTCATATATACTTAATAATAAATAAATTTTAATACTTAAATATTCTTTGTAAAATGAAGATAAATGCAAAAAAGTACTTATTTATTTGAATCTATATTTTGTCGAAAAATATTTTTTCAAGACGTGTAAGAAAGTAAATTACGCGGTCAAATATTTAAATGCGCACAAATAAATTTTGTTAAAGTGTCTTTTAAATGATTTTTTGTATGAAAAAGTGAAATAAAAAAAATATTTTAAACACTGTGTCTTTAAATAGCACTGCTTTAAATCACATTATGACCTACTCTAGTAATTTAATATCAGTAAGAGAAAAATTACAGTTTACATGCGAACTGATGCAACTGATAGGTGTAAAACCGATATACCTTTCAATAACGTCACAGAGGTATGTATAACACTGTTACATTCTTGAGTAAAATAACAAATATTTACAACTACAGCAAACCAATTCATTGATTATAAGGACGCTCATAATATTTTTATAGTTAGTAATTTCTATTATGATTCCCCGCATGTATACTTTTACTTCTGAAATTACATTGTACTTACAGTATGAATAAAATCTTTCATGGCATGCTATAATTTACTAAAGTGCACAGTGAACTGCAAAGTCATTATGTGTATATATAGTGATTTCGAGATAATTTTCATACGTAGCCGATAACAGTCCCCTTTTCAAAGATTGACTTATCAATCAACGTTTTATATTAAGAATGGGCACAAGTATCGCACGAGCTTTCAAACCCGATATAGCTGTTTATCGTTGTGACGTTTTTCATTTATTTATATGACACCTATTCGCTTACATATTAAATATGAACAAGAGTTGAATTATTATGTGTTTTCACCTCTTTTTTGTTCAAACATTTGCACAACTGAGATCGAGGAAATGGTGAGAAAATATATTAATGTTAGCAAGAAAATTTTTATTAAAGAGTTACTCTACCAGTAAGGGGGTTTTCACATAAAATCATAAATTCGCCGTGAGAGTGCTGTGAATGGTCTGTTAATCCATCACTATGTTTTACCGTTCTATAAATTTTCATGCTTCAAGTATTGTAAAATTTTGTTAAAAACAGCATTAAAGAAGCAAAATTGTTGCAACCAAAAAAAAAAAAAAAAAAAGAGCGAGTTATAATACTGAAATTTTAAACCTTTTTCTTATCATTTGAGAATGATATTTTATTTCATAATGTTTACTTGATGGCGCCTTAAACTGAGAGCTTGTTGACGATTATTCGATGTTTAACAGAAAGACTATAACAAACTGTTTGTTACTTGCCGTATGTAAGAATATTGAAAAAAAATTTTTTTTTAATGATTCCGATTTTTACTTGTAAAAGTTAATAATAATTATAATGCATACTGTGATCAGTATTTTACTAATACCACGTTCAATTTCAAACTATAATGTCATCGAGCAAAACTCTGTAAATTAGAATATTCCAAAACAATCAATAATACCGTTATGAAATAACTATAAATCATACGTACTATCAACGCTTGATTAAATAATCGAACTATGGTTGTTATGTAATAGACTTAGAGGCGAATTAAATAATTAAATGTAACGATTAATTTTGGCACTAAAAAATCTCTTTCGTTGATAAAATTATAACTCATACATGTGTATTCACTGAAATGTAAGAATGCAAAACGATTAAAATTTTTTCGATGCATTTAATTATTCAACACTTGTCACGATGTTAAGTACTTTACGGGTATTAATTGCGTACCCCAATTTATGCGATCAGCCTTCAGATCCATTTCCTCGACCAAAGATTCCTGTTGAAAGCCTGATTATTCTAATCCTCACTGTTTTACGACTCCGCCCATGTATACATGTCCATGGGGCCAAAAAAAGCCCGAAACTTCATTGGATGAAAATTCTATATGAAAAAAATCCGACCTTACGCTGAGCATTGAGTCAACACCAATCTTTAATGTTATGACTAATATGAATTTCCAAAGACAAGATTTTACGCATGAAATGTTTTAAACCAAACGAGAAAAAAAAAAGAGAATGTGTTCTATAGAGAAAAAGTAAAAAGTGATGATGCATTGCAAAACCCGGTTTTCCTTTCGGTTGAATTAAAACAAAACCATACGATACGTACAATCAACCAACTACATTAGTGATCATTCATTATGAGTATAAGAAAACGTGAGTCAGTGGTAAACCAATCATTTGCGGTTTATCTGTGGAACAGAACGGTCGCATCTTGCACACGTATATAATTATATATATATATAACTGCAGCCACAATAACCGCGGGGAGGAGATATATATATATATATACCTGCAGAACACAAGATAACATTGTGAAATTTTTTACACGGTAAGAATTAAGTTTTCGAGAATCCAGAAATACTTTTTGAACAAGGAAAAAGTGTCGTTAACGCGTTACATTTTTTATTGTCTTGTTGTGTCATCTTTTCTTAATCCCCGATTTTCCGTGTTAGTACTAACAAGTTTAATTATTGCAGCCTAAATTTACTTGTGTGTACCGAATAATACGAGGTGCCCGAAATCCCAGTGATCGAGTGTTGAGTTGCTAAAAAGTGCTTGATGAATCGCTCTTATTATGGACAATTCTAAATCGACGAGTAAACCGAATCCTGCAGAACGAGCCAATCCAATATCGCGCATAACATGGTGGTGAGTAGGTTTTCAGTATTGACTGTAACTTAACTGTTTTAATTGGGAAGGAAAAAAAAAAAAAAAAAAAAAGTACCATATGCTGCAAAGCTGTATTTAAAAAGTTGCACAATATTGTTGCATATTCATACTTTGAAATTATTATCTGGATATATACGCGCATACCATATATTGTATTGCAAATAAGATAAAGTAAATCAAACAATGATTCATTTATCTGGTGCTGTTCCATGCAGTACAATAACATTTTGCAAGATAAATACCATGAATAAAGAGGCATTATTCCGCTCGAGGATAAATTAATACTTAAGAATCCAGACGCTCGTATTTGTCATTCCAACAGTCGTAACTTTACAAGAGTTATCGAAGTTATGCGATAAAAATTATGTATTACATGAAATATAGAACATTTAAGTAAATAATGTCTTGGATCCCATGTACAACATTGTCCTTGAATGCGAGGGTGACTAGCGTGAGATCCACACCTGGTGTGTACACAATTTTGTTGACCGACTTGACCGGAAATAGTACTCTTTCTTTTGCTCTGCGGGACCAAAGAGTATATGCTACTTTAGATCGAAAAAATATTTTGAAAAAGTTTCCAATATCATTGACGTTGTATTTTTTGCTTGTGTAGGTGGACTCTTCCAATATTCAAAAAAGGCTACAGCAAGGTCTTTGGAGTGGACGATTTGTACGACCCAATAAAGACAGATGAATCAAACGTATTGGGCGACCAACTGGAAAAGTAAAGTTTTTAACATAAAATGTTGTTTGACGCCAACTGATACCACACATTTTTTTTTTTTTTTTTTTTTTTTTTTCAAGGAGATGGATGCAAGAAGTCCAAAAGGCAAAAAAAGCCAATCGGCGACCGAGACTTATCAAAGCCCTTTTCCGAACGTTTCTCTTCGAAAACGCCATGCTTGCCCTCCTCCACGTGCTCAACCAGTTTGTTCTAAAGTCTGTAAAATATACACGCACTAAAGAATACGATTAATTAAAAAAAAAAAAAAAAAAAAAAAAAAAAAAAAGTACCATATGCTGCAAAGCTGTATTCTTTTAAATGTAAAATAAATATTACCAATTTTCGTATGAAGTGAGCAAGGGAGTGGGTGAAATTTTTAAAAATATCTGTGAAATAAATAGCACATATTATGTCTAATGTTTATATCACATATCATGAATTTTTTTCATAAAANAAAAAAAAAAAGTACTAAACTTTAACAAAATTCTCAGTCTAGGCATTCCTCTTCTGTTGGGTGAACTTCTCAAGTACTACAAACCTAAACCGCTCATCACGTACGATGCGGCGTTAATGTACGCAGCTGGTATCGTCGGGGCCATTGCCACCGCAAATGTTACTATGAACTACAGCCTATACGGTGCTTTTCACGTAGGCGGAAGAATCAGAATATCCGTTTGTTCGCTCATCTACAGAAAGGTCATTACAATGTTTTTTGTATACGATTTCATTTTTTCTGTCGTTCAATTTTTTTTATTTTGTGTTATGAATCAAACAAGAGTTAAATGTTAAACCTCAGGCGTTAAAACTCAGCAAGACAGCATTGGGTGAAACGGCGCCAGGGAAAATAGTGAACCTCCTGGCTAACGATGTCAACAGATTCGACATCATCATGAATTTCATCAACTACATGTGGTCAGCTCCACTACTGACCTTGTGCATCGGCGCCATCCTGTACAACGAGTCCGGATACGCTGGAGTCGCTGGAATTGTTGCCATATTTTTGGTTGTACCTATGCAATGTAACGTTTCTTTTGATTGTTTCTTCGTTTGATCGACAGAAAGAAAAAATCCGAATTCCATTGTTCCTTTCAGCTTACTTGGGCAAACTGTCGTCCAGGTTCCGTTTGCAGACTGCCATCAAAACTGACGAGAGGGTCCGTCTGATGGACGAAATAATCTCGGGGGTCCAAGTGATAAAAATGTACGCGTGGGAAAAACCATTTTGCGCTCTGGTTGGACAAGCGCGCAAACTCGAGCTGAAAGTCGTCAGGAAAAGCGCGTACATTCGGGGTATCTACATGACGTTCAACATTTTCACCACTCGCTTGGCTTTGTGGTGCAGTTTGATGGTGATGCTGCTGCTGGGCGACACCCTCACCGCCGCCAAAGTGTTCGTCTTCACCTCGTACTTTGGTATGCTGTCTCATACCATGACCGGTATGTTCGTGCGCGGCTTCGCCGAAATCTCCGAATGTTCGGTCGTGATCAAAAGATTGGAAAACTTTTTGATGTTTGACGAATTCAAATCGGGCAACGTGGCTAACGAGCTGCTGCAACCAACTAAGGACGCATCTTCGAAGCAGCCTGAGGAGCAACAACAACAACAGCAGCAACAGTTTTCGCGAATAGAAGAAATCGAACATTACGACAACGGCGTGGACGGCAGAAGGACGCACAACATGATCATCGCGGCAAACAACCAGGACAACCAGTTGGTCCTCGCTGTTCCGTGAGTTTTGCAAAAATACCACGTGGACACGTGAAATGAGTGGCCAAGTTAATGAAACAAGGATTAAAGATTGCGACGTGTTTTGTCCCCAGGAACAACGATGACACCTACGACGTGCAATTCGACGACGTAACCGCCAAATGGAACGAGCACTCGTCCGACAATACCTTGGAGAATATAAACGTTAAAATCGAGCCGGGCAAGCTGTACATAGTCATCGGTATGGTCGGATCGGGCAAAAGCTCGTTACTCTCGACGATCCTCGGCGAGGTCAACGTACTGCGGGGTAACGTTAGGGTCAAGGGTACCATCAGCTACGCGGACCAAGACGCTTGGGTCTTTGGCTCGAGCGTCCGGCAAAACGTCACCTTCGGACAGGAGTTCGACCGACAAAGGTACCAAAGAGTCGTCAAGGCTTGCGCTCTGCTCAAGGATTTCAAGCAGTTCCCGCATGGCGATCAGACCATCGTGGGGGAAAGGGGAAGTTCGTTGTCTGGTGGTCAAAAAGCCAGGATCAATTTGGCGAGGGCAGTCTACAGACAAGCCAACATATACTTGCTGGACGATCCTTTGAGCGCGGTGAGGATGACACGTGGCGTAGCAATGCCATGGTACGTTAAAAAATAAGATGCTTTTGTTGACTTGTGTTACGAACTGCGCAGGTCGATGCACACGTCGGCAAGCATCTGTTCGAGGAGTGCTTGCAAAAATACTTGAGGGGTAAAACGCGCTTGCTAGCCACTCATCAGCTCCAATACGTGAAGGCCGCCGATTCCATCATACTGATGGATCAAGGAAAACTGTCCGAGTACAGAGATTACCACGCTCTGCTTCGAGAACATCCGGAGTACAGTTGGCTTATCGCCGAGGACAAAGAAAACACACCCGTCACGGAGGTTCCCAACGAAGGAGTTTTTTTGCAGCGTCGGTTCTCCCGTATGAGCACGAGAGTTAGTACAAAATCACTCAGTGGTCAATTTACATTTTGATCGTTGAGTATATGTGTATATTTACCAAAATCCTTTCAGAGCGACAAATCGGATATGAGTAACTACGACGAGGTGGAAGACCACGAGCAGCAGGAAGTCGACAAGATTGAAAAAACGACCCGCGGAGTCGTCAAGGGCAGTTTACTGTTCAATTACTTGAGTATCGGTGCGAATCACTTTTTCGTTGGTGTCGTTATAATTTTGTTCGCGACGACCCAACTGATCGCTAGTTACAACGATTACTTCATCAAAGACTTGTGAGTATACGGAAGTATACGATAAAAATGTAGGATTCGAATCAAATCAATTTCAACTAGTTATACATCATTGTAAAATCCAAGCGTGTTGAAGTACACGTTTAAATAGTGTAATCGAAATTTTCACTTTTTATCAAATACTTAATACAGTAGCCTTGATCTTAACGTATCAAGAATAATCAAATCGATGCTTCGTTAACTATTTCTTGGTTTTTCTTATTCAAAATTGTCCTGTTTAATGGAACTGGTTAACCACTTGGTGTACCATATACCCTTGGTTTTCCTTAAAATTATTATCCACGCCACCACTATGTACTTTATAAAAAACAAAAATTTCAACTACACATTCTTTAACCCACTTGGATTTACACTTATTGCAAACGCGTGTTGTGTTGTTCTTAGCGTGAACGCCGAAGAATCGCGAGCTTACTGGGATAAGAACGCCTCTACCGGGGAGTTTAACAAAAGTTCGACAATCCTCGACAAAGACAGAATCCTTCCGCAGCATCTGTACATCGTGATATACACCATTATTGTCTTTGCCGTTTTCTTGGTTGGCATCACGCGGTCTCTGACTTTTTATACAATCAGCTTGCGGGTGAGCCAGCGTCTCCACGACTTTGCGTTCAACGCGCTGGTTCGTGCGAGCATGCGGTTCTTCGATACCAATGCCAGTGGCCGGATTTTGAATCGATTTTCCAAAGACATGAGCGCCATTGATGAGTTGTTGCCGAAAGCCGTGATGGATGCCAGTCAGATATTGTTGCTGGCGTTAGGTACGCTCGTTGTCGCTTGCATCGTCAATTTGTACTTTTTGGTTCCTGTGGCGGTTATTGGTTTCATTACTTACTGGATAAGAAAAGTTTACTTGAAAACCAGCAAAAACGTCAAGAGATTGGAAGGAATGAGTAAGTAGATTGATTCGAAAGAAATAGGGTTTTTTTTTTTTGTTTTTTTTTCATAAAAATAAATTTTACATTTGAAATTCGTTTCAGCTCGATCGCCGGTATTTACGCACTTGAATGCAACGCTCAACGGATTGTCGACGATTAGGGCCTACGAGGCGCAGACAATTCTCAAGCAAGAATTCGATAATCTTCAAGACATGCACACTTCGTCGTGGTACATGTTTATCGTTGCAGGAACTGCCTTTGGTTTTTGGCTGGATATGTTTTTCCTGTCTTTCACGGGAATCGTCATATTTAGTTTTTTTTTCTTCCAAAACGGTAAGACGTTAAACGGCACAAGAGCCGTTTGCACAAATTGATGCGAGTACGAGTGTACTTGATAGTTTGATTTTTTTGATCGTTTCAGTTTTTTCTGGAAGTGATGTGGGACTGGCTATCAGTCAAGTAATGACAATGTCAACGATGATCCAGTGGGGGATGCGGCAATCGTCGGAAGTGGATAATCAGTTGATGGCAGTCGAGCGAGTGTTCGAGTACACGCAAATTCCACCAGAGAAAAATGTCAGAGACAAGGGGGTGAGGACAAAACAAATGATCAAAAAAGCTAAACTAGAACCGGTCGACACGTCAATCGAAGTACCCAAGAACTGGCCGAGTCAAGGTCTCATTCAATTTAAACAAGTCTTTATGCGATACAGCGAAGAAGATGCACCAGTACTCAAGGATTTGAATATAACGATTTATCCAACTGAAAAAGTGAGTCGAAAAAAGCCGATATGGAAAATTTTTCACTAGAAAAACATTTAACAAGCAAATTTGCTTTTTCATAGATTGGCATCGTGGGGAGAACCGGTGCCGGAAAGTCATCTCTCATTTCAGCCCTATTTAGGCTGGCGATAGTTGAAGGTGACATCGAAATTGATGGAATAAACACTGGAGTTATTGCCGTGGAAGATTTAAGAAAGAATATTTCAATCATTCCACAGAGCCCAGTGTTGTTCTCTGGTACGTTGCGGCGTAATTTAGACCCATTCAATGAATTCTCCGATCCCATCTTGTGGGACGTTTTGGAAGAGGTAAGACACGCACAACTATAATTCTTATTTTCTTACATCTTTGATGTATAAAATGAAGCAATTTATGAACTTCACGCAATGATTGAACTATAGGTTGAGCTCAAGGAGGCAGTGCAAGCAACTGGTAACGGTCTGGATCATAAGGTATTGGATAGAGGCTCGAATTACAGTGTAGGCCAACGCCAGTTGATCTGTTTATCCCGAGCCATTCTTCGCAACAGTAAAGTATTGATGCTGGACGAAGCCACTGCCAACGTTGATCCGCAAACGGACGCTTTGATTCAACGTACCATACGCACCAAATTCGCCAAGTGTACCGTATTGACGGTAGCCCACAGACTTAACACCATAATGGACAGCGACAAGGTGCTGGTGATGGACAGGGGTTGTGCAGTGGTAAATTTTTTGAAAACAAATATTAAATTTGTTGTGTTGTTGCACGTATTACGACTTAAATATTGTTTGTATGTTGCTTTCAGGAGTATGATCATCCATACGTGCTATTACAAAATAAAAATGGCGAATTTACTTCTTTAGTGCAAGAAACGGGTAAGGCAATGTATGAGCAACTATGCAAAGTATCGAGAGATGCTTATATGAATAGACACGAAGAGACACAATTATAAAAGTAAAATTTCATGCGAATAAAGTTGAAAAGGATAAAAAAATCATACGACAACTTGTAATGTATTAATTAAAAAATTGTACATACTTGTTTTATAGGCGATTTTTTAACAAGCATGATTATACTTTATCCTTTAATCTTAGAATAAGTAATAGTTCTAATAGATGCAATGCATCTTTTTCTAACGTTTGTACATAAGCAATAGTTGTAAGCTTAAGTATGTATCTCATATTTTTATAGATGATTACTAAAACTTGTCCACAATACTAGAATGGTTCGCTCGTTTCGTCTGAAAAAATATGTTAGCATATGTATAAAATTTCTTATTACAAGGTAATAGTAGTTCACTCTAAAAATTATTTATAGTATGAAATCATGAAAAGACCAAATAAATCATACGTATTATATGTATATTAGATTCTGAAGTGTGTGAAAAATCATATGTTTAAGTGGTACTGTGAAATAAAATTGATGTGAATATCTGTCTTTGTCACTTTTTACTGCACGAAAAAATAGACTGCGGTCGTTCGATGGAGACAACAGTCCCCTCCAATTTTTAATATGCAAATTGCAGCTTTGTACAAGGCGCTGTGTGGTTGGCAGAAACATTGTATCTTTATAAAAAAATTAATAGCAACGATGAGTAAAAAACGCTGTCATTATAATGTACTGTGCTATTCTTACGTCAACGCGAATAAAAAATTACCCTTTCCGATTCACAATCTGTTTTATAATACTACATACGTTCATGGTACGAGGGACATTGACAGTTATTCTAGTAAATGATGGAAATTTACGACACGCGTTTTTATAATATATAAACAAAATGATACTTTGATTTTGTGGAATTTGGCCATATGACAATAAGCTGAAAAGAGCTTTTGTTCAATCGGTATTGATTTCACTTATCATCGTAACATCTCTACCAAACGTAAGAATAGTAACATTTCAATACTTCATGCATCAAAATAATTAATCAAACAACTTTTATACAATAAACTATTGTTTTAACTTAAAAACTTAGTATTATGGTATTTATGTCAACTTCAACGTGGACTTTACTTGAGTAATGCAGAACCTGACCATGTTGTTTTATAATAACATTGTGTTAATAAAATTAACTTTTTCTATATGGACTGAAGACAAAGTTAGTCAATGACGCTTTTATTTTATAATTATAACATCTGAAAAATAAAATAATTTCATGGCTCAACAGATTAAAGTTGCTTACGAAAATATAGCTGAAAATCGGAAAAGATTTCAAAAAGAAAAATGTACGCTTGTTTACTACGCCGAGAAGGGAAGAAATCTCACTATCGGATATTCAGGTAACTGAAAAAAAGCGAAATTTCGTACATTTTTAAATATGTTTTATAAAAAGTGATCACACATTGTGTGGGAGTTTATTATTATCCAAATTTTATTTATTATTATAATTTTTTTTTTTTTTAGTATACATGTAAGCACTAAATACTTTATTATAGAATGAAACAAAACGTTTAGTGACACGTGTTTATTTTTCATTTTATTCGGATTTCGTGAATAATATTTCCACTTTAGGCTGTAATGAAGAAATTTCATCTGTCTAAATCAATTTCTAGCTTACATGTTTATAGCGTTACTTTACGCTTTACTTTATCCTTTTACACTGTTTATTTTGGACACCATAATGCCTTTGAATCAAACTCGAGAAGTAACAACTATTTTGATGGGAAACTATCCCATTGACATCAAACAAAATTACGAGGCAATTTACGTCTTTGAAGGAATATACAGTACTGTAACAATACTTATAACTTGTGGCATTGACACTACTTATGCTGCGTGCGTTGAACACTGCTTAGCATTATTTCAAATACTAAAGTGAGTTTCTTCCATAAGTTACACTTTATGTACACAATATGAATAATTTTCTTAGTCGTAAATTCTTAATTGTAGACTTCGTTTGCAAAAATTTAATGGCAAAGGTGTGATTAAAGAACATAATTTACACAATAATAATGTTTTTTTTTTTTTAAATAATTTTTCTACCTCGGGCGAAATAAGAGTTTAAGGGTGTGCCCTCGGTAGAAAAAATAAGATTCGCACCTAGTGTGCATCCAACTAAGACAAGCACAAAGAGTCCCTCGATCTGATGCTTGTCCTAGCAACATGCGCTACCAGATACGAAAACTACCATTTTCTACCTCGGGTGTTTTTGAGAGGCTGGTATGCCCTCGGTAGGAAAAATAGGATTCGCCACATAAGTGCCATCGCTCCGCGGCTACCTTACGTCCCTCGGGCCGCAAAATAGCCCCAGAGATGATGGCACTTATCCGACGAAAAATACCATTCCCTTCTCTCGGGCGGAAAGTGAGGGCCAAAAGTACTTTCAGTGTCTTTTTTAAGGGTGGAAAGTGGAACATTTCGCCTATTTTAGGGTGGAAAGTACATTTTTGCCCGCAAACAAGAAATATGTTTAATTTTGTAACTGATGCTGCTTATGTTCTATAAACATTTGTCAAGCACTGTCAATCAAATATTTTATGAAATTTTATCATATATTTTGTATAAAATTTTTTACGAAAAATTAAAATAATTCAATCAGGAAGTAGATTTCGTTTTTATAAGCAGAGAGCCTAGCAGAATGTTGCCCTCTGGTGGTAAATTTTTTCATACTACTTAATACTCTTACTCCATCAAGTTTATTTTTTTGTTCAGAAAATAGTTAAAAAAATTTTTTTTAAAGATAAGAACGATCATTTCATACCTGGTGGCGCATGTCTTCAAGGCACACACCAGGCCTCGAGTTAGCCCTGGTTGGATGCGCATCGGGTGCGAACCCTATTTATTGTACCAAGAGCACACCCAAGCCTTAAAAACGCCCGAGATAGAAAAATTATATTTTCCTACTTTGAGCGTTGTTTTTTTAAACATTGGGACGTTTGGTATGCCTTTAGTAGAAAAAATAAGATTCGCACCTAGTGTGCATCCAACTAAGGCAAGTACAAAGAGTCCCTCGGGCCTGGCGCTTGCCCTGGCGACATGCGCCACCAGGTACGAAAACTATCATTTCATGAATTGTTTACCATTCAAATTGATTCATTATTAAATGAAACTATATTCATAAAATTAATTATTAACAAGACAGTACAACCTCACTTTGCACCCTTAAATAGAAGAATTAATAGGATACACGGCTCGGACGAAGGCCTTCACGCTCTTGAGCGCACTTTTCGCCCTTCGAGTACTTTCGGTAGCGTGGAAATATTATTCCCGCTCTCGGGCCGAAAGTACTCGGTGAGCGGAAAGTGCGCCTGTGGGCGGGAAGTAGCACTTTCCGCCCCAGTGGCGTCATATACTATTGATGCAATAATAAAAATAATTTGATTATACTATTGTTTAAATGCGAAATCTGAAAGAAATATAGGATTATTAACCCACATTGAACGGAAGCCAGTTAAATTTTTTATTTCAGTTTTGCAAACACTCTTGAATCATCGTACACTTTTGCTTTTTTACTAATACTAGGCCTGAATCTGCTGGGCTGCAGTATTACATCGGTTGCGGTATTTTATTGATTTATTATACCATTTATTCTTGATACTTTACTTTAGAATATATATTTTTTTAATGTATGGTTTCAGATTATCATAACTAATGATCTGGTATCAAAATACCGTGTGATTATTATATCTATTGGTTTGTACATTCATTTATTTTATTTAAGTTGGCCGGGACAAAAGCTTCTGGACCACAGTGAAAAGCTTTTGCAAGACGTATAAGTAAATTATTAACCAAAAAATACAAATATTATACGGTTTACATTATCCATTTCATCAGATATATGAATGAATGGTACGAGAGCTCGATCAAATGCCAACGGCTACTGAAATGTACATGGCTCTGCGTTGTATGAAACCTTGCAAAATGACAGCAGGCACAGTGTATGACATGAATTTCATTAACTTTTTAAAGGTAAAAAAAAATTAAAGACATAATTGCATTGTTTTGTAGTCATAATTAAGAAATGATTTTTGTAGGTCGTTAAAACCTCAGTATCATTGATGACACTCTTATCATCTTTGAAACGATTATTAGTTATTAGCTTATAGAATCTGTAAAACAAGATTGTAATAGTATAGTGAAATGTAATCCATGCACTCAATACATTAATTGCATGAAAAAAAAACAAAAGTATAAATGTGTATGTTATTTGAAAACAAAATATTAACCAACCGCATACACGTGCTATTTGAACCTATAAAAATTGTTGAATTTATCCTATCTTAAAAAACGTATGGTCACGTGACTAAAGTCTTTTTATTCATTCTATTCCTATCTTTAAAAATTGATGGTCTCGTCCAAACGAGACTGACGAAGAGCGGGTAAATTAGAAAATGAGTTTTCAAAAATATAGTTTAAAAAGCCAATATATTGAAAATGGTAACTAAAATCAAATAATCGTTCATAAAATTATTAGTTTGAAGAAAGGATCCGAATAATTGATAGCAAGAAAACTAATTTTTCTTACCTTAGCGTTTTTTAGGGTTGGTTGTGCTCTAGGTAGGAAAAACAGGGTTCGCACCTGGTGTGCATCCAACCAGGGCAAGCACAAGTTCTTCGGGCCCTGCTTCGCAAATCCCTCGGTTTGCAGGTTCTTCGATTGTACATTGAAATTGAATGACGAAATAAAAAAATATTCGTTAATTTAAATCAAATCAATTTAAATAATAATATAATTTAAGCGCACGCGGAGCGCGTCTAACATCACAAGTATTATAAAAAAAACGTTGATTATTAGTCGATAAAAAAAAAATTTAAATACAAAGTAAATCAGTTGTCAATAACTTGTTGACAAATTTCGTTGAAAAAAGGAAAATTAGGGAAAAAAATTGTTAGAACACATAATATTTTTAGTATTGTATCGTACNATTTAGTAACAGCCTTCATTTTTTTTAATAAAACTACATGGGATCCTCAATAAGACTTATCTTCATTTTACAATAATAGATGCTTCTTCCAAAGAACAGAAGCGCAAGAAGGAATGCACCTAAAAAATAATATGGCTGACGTGAGTAATCACAATATTATTATGTAAATAGATCAATAGAAGCATTATAAATAATCTACATAAAATATAATAAATCAGTTGTCAATAACTTGTTGACAAATTTCGTTGAAAAAAGGAAAATTAGGGAAAAAAATTGTTAGAACACATAATATTTTTAGTATTGTATCGTACTGTATAATTTTCCACGTATATGTATGATGCTTCATCCCTTTTTTTTTGTCTCTCTTTCCTCAAGTATCGAAATTTTTGATTAGAACTCTTTTAAAGAGCTAAAATTGTTTTTTGTACAGTGGCAGCAGTTACGTTAGGGAGCGAAGAAATGTTATCGTGGAAAGAAGGATCTTTTTCATTAAATATATCCATACAATATACATCATACCTTTTTTTATAGTACAGTGTACTGACCTTGAATATATGTGCCTAAGTATATAATATTATACCTATCCGACTATATTTATATATACCTTTCTAACTCACCATACTGACGTTTTTAAAACTGATAGTGGCTTTGAATACGAGCTGGCTAGGTGTTGGCTTCTCTCGAAAGCACACTTCAAGTGTCCAGGCGTCACCAGAAAAATGCCATCACATTTTCTATTATTATCATCATGTTGACACGGTTTTGTAAATTTGATTGTTTTTTATTGCTTTTTTTAGGACACAATAATTGTTACCCCTTATTATATGGGTGATTCTGTCGAAAGTAACCCACTGAGTATCCAAAGCTCATGCTGCTACAAGTAACTAAAATTGAAAGTTCAAATTACGTGAAGTTGTGTTAAAAGTGTTAAACTTCCATGGAGAAAACTTTCAAGCGGATATATTGACTCCTTATTCACAAAATTAAAAAAAAGTGTAACTAAAAAGTTACTTACGTACCGTGTCCCAATCTCAGTTTCGTACCTAAAAGCTTCTACTTGAAAAAAAAGCTTCTCTGCCTTGTCCTCGCACATACATTGTTAAGTATGGATAACATTAATCATGATAACGTTAATTTTTAATCTGTAAGCAAGAAATTTCATCAAATACCAAATGCTCCACGATTTGAACTGAAATATCGGTGACAGTATGGAAATCACTTTGGAAACCACACTGTTGCCTTTCGTAAGACATAAAATCGGTACTTTTTTGTGTAGGGTTGGTAAAAAATCTATACATCCCAAGGGATGAAGAAAAACAAGCCTCATAGAACGCAATGATTATCGCCCTTGGATTTGCCTCGAGCGCATAATATATGTATTCATATATACCGAATGTATTCTGAACAACCTATTATTTTATCATTTTTTGCGATTTTTCATGTTAATTCCACTTTACGAACAAAAATATTAGATACCAAAAAGTTTATATATAAGTTTTACAGTTGTAATTTAAAATGTAAAACAAGTAAGTTACACAGGGGAAAAACTATAATTTGGCAATTTTTTAGTACTTTCTGGCTCACGGAACGTTTAGGTTATATCCTAGACAAAAACGTCAGGTATAAAAAAGTTCTATTTCAATCATATCTAGAATATTGTCTTTCACAGCAAACCTCGAAAATATCACGTAACAGAGTTACAGCCGAAAAACTGTTATTCTTTTTACAGAAAGTACTATCTTGAAATAACTACCATTTTTTTTCTAAAACAGGAAACTTGGTCTATTTCAAACCATTTTGTAAGACACGAAAAACGAAGCTATTTGTCAAATTTCAGCCCAATCTAGCAAAAACTGCATGAGCTAGTAGAAAAACTTGATTGCGCCCACACATACATACATACACCCCTGACGCCGAGGTCCACGATCGTTACTTTTCTTAAACAAAAACAATAAGTTTCAAGGGTACTCGAACTTTTTGCTCTGGCAAAACTATAAGGTACTCCTGAGTATCAGTTGTGACTAAAAAATGAAGTAAAATCTATATTGCATAAAATTTTCTTAACCCTCATGAAATTTGAGTGGACTTGACATGTAAAATGAAAATTCCTTTATTGGTAAAAATATGTATTTTCTCATTTATTGCGCTAATACATCAAAATTAAAAAATTAACAAGATAATTGTGTTTCTTGGTAAAGATCAGAACTAGGTAATTTTGTGGAAGAACATTCATACATTACTTCTATACACTTAATTTTTGATGATTTAGAGACTAAGGTAAAATTTTTAAAGTTCACTTAACGTTCTAATTTATAATAAATATTTATTAAATATTTTGATACAGTACCAAAATGTAAAACGCGTTTAGAATGTGTTTTGAACATAAAACTGTTTACTTATCTAAAAAAATGAAAAAAAGGCAACTAACTAAACACAACGTATTTTTATAAAATGTACATGATATAATTTAATTTTGTAACAAGAACGTTATCCTTAAGAAGCATACATTTCAGGGTGTACTTGATCGTTACTAGAGAGATGAATTAGGAAATATGTTTTTTGCCTTGAAAAAAAGTTATTAGATTTATTATTATTGAATCTTATAACTTTTATAAATAATCAAAAATCTACAAAAATAAAATCAATTAACAAATAATTAGTTTTGAAATTTCCTTTAAAAATCATTTATAGATCATTTTTTGTCATATAGATGTTGTTTTTGTAGCGAGTGTATTTTTTTTACTTCAGATCGGAATAGCAAGCACGGGAACTTACTAAACTCGTTTAATCGTTCCAATTCATCATTATCATACTCACTGTAAACTTATCTAAATAGATTATACAATTATATTATTAAAATTATTTAGTAACAGCCTTCATTTTTTTTAATAAAACTACATGGGATCCTCAATAAGACTTATCTTCATTTTACAATAATAGATGCTTCTTCCAAAGAACAGAAGCGCAAGAAGGAATGCACCTAAAAAATAATATGGCTGACGTGAGTAATCACAATATTATTATGTAAATAGATCAATAGAAGCATTATAAATAATCTACATAAAATATAATAATGCAAATAATAATAATCATAATAATAAAAATAATAATCATTTATACACACCAACATAAGCAATATAAATTCCTCCATTGGAGTGCACAATAGTGTATGTTCCAACCTAGTACAAAAATAATATTTAAAGTATCTTTCAAGAAATTAATTGTTTTAAAATAAAATAAAATTAAAAATCTTCAACTAACTGTTACAGCAATTCCAAGAATTAAACTAACAACTCCGAGGATGATGAAAAGAATTCCACGTCCTCTTGCAAAGTCTGGTCCAACAGATGACACTTTTCGACAGTGCGGACAACGCGCCAAAGAATTATTTAAAGTATTAAACTGAAAAAAAAAACAGAATATTGTTGTGAAATCATGTTTCTATAACTGTATGGAGTTTGCTGATTAGCGATTTTTCGGGGCTTACCAAAAACGTGTCATGACAGTGAGCACAACAGACTCGACACATTCCAGGCATTGACAAATTAGGCGGTGTCACGGGACTCGGCGCGAGATTGATAATTCGTTTACAATTAGGCCTGGGGCAGGCGATTCGCTGTGATGAACTCTTACATATGAGCAGGCAATTGCACGGACAACGCACATATTTCTTCCCTGGTGGTGCGTTTTTGATTGGCTGAAAAAAAAAAAAACGTATATTAAAACTTCACGGAGCTTTGTGTCGTGGGTGAGTCTAATACAAATTTTTATGTACTTACTGTAGCTTCGTTGCATTGGTTACACTTAACAACATGCTGATCTCTTTTGCCAGAGATGTCAATCATAGCTTGACATACACGACAGGTAACCATGTGCATGCTACCCTGACTAGCTTGATATGACGGAGGTAGTTCATCAGGGCCAATTGGAGCGACATTATTAACTTGTGGTTGAGACTCCGTTCCTTCAAACGATATACATTTTGAATTTCACTTTCATTATTTCAGAAATTAATATGAAGAATACGATAAACTGCGGACATCTTTGTGAACTGACTCGTTGAACGTAATTAGAATAAGGATTAAAAGTATGAGCAATAAAACAAAAAATGAAAGTTATTAAAAAAAAAAAAAAAAAAGAAAAATAAAAGTCATATTTTGCACTTGGCATTCTTATTTTCATATCTTTTATTTTTATAATAAAAGTCTGTAATAAGAAAAGTGTGATAATCTTAAAAAAATGAATAGGTTTTCAAGACTACTTTGTACATAATTGTATAATAATTCTTGAAGGCTTGCCACAAAATACGATAAACTAAATCATCTTTTCACTACATCAAGTTAGTTTTTCTTCTATTTGTATCAAAAGAGAAGAAAACAACCAAAAAGTAAAAAACAATTCTAATTTAATGGTATTTAAAAACTTTTTCTCATAAACACATCTGGATAATTGGATTGCCATATTATTTTTTCTGCAAGTAGTATTTTTTATTGATCGTACTTGAATAACAAATGTCACAGCAGCATGACATTACAGACTCTTGATACTTGATATTATGCTTCTTGTGCATGGATCAGTACAAAGAATCAATTTACAAACCTATACTTCATTTGTGGCTCATAATGATAAAGCTTGATTAATTGTGCCGTCTTCTATACATTCACGTAAGAGAAGTAACATTTTATTGAATTGACGGTTCTTTTACGGAGTAATTTCTAGATATTTAAAGAACGGAGGATTTAAAAAATTAACGTAAATGAAAATAATATACATAAGAAAAGGAACCAGCCAATCATGCCACTTGTTTGAGTCACCGTCTGCTCCAAAGTGACAATTCCAAAACAGCTGTCATGATATCAGCATAAACAAACAAATAAACCAACAGACAGGCATATACAGACAGACAAAGAGACCGACAGCTAACAGCCTAACAGCCACCATAATGAATCACCTTCAGTGCACACACGCATTCCACCTATATATATAGCTGCACGTATAGCAAGCTCCCTTGCATGATTCAAAGAGATCGAACGACAATCACTTGAAGATTAGGTAAGTATGTTGATCAGTAGAAATGTCATTGTTACCTGATACCTCGCCGCCACTACTGTAGTTGACGTTGTCACTCTTGAGGAGTGGTTGGCGCTCGGCCTCCTTGCCATCGCCCATGTTTACGCTCTCCCCGCACTCTGTCGATGTCCCCGCGACTGAAGCTCCAGCACACACGACCTGACGTCCTGTAGCTTTCTCTTGCCGATCGCCAACTACCGAGCTAGCTACCTACATTCACACATATATAAGTACTATGATCACAGAGAATAAGAGAAAAAAAAGGCGTAGTGTATAGAGAGATAGAGCAAGGCATAGAGAGAAAAAAATACACACACACATAATAAGTACAAGACCCTCACCCTACCTTGCTCGACACCGTGATCTGTAGTCCGCGCTATCTCACTCGAGCTTTTTTCTACATCTTCCTCAGGAAGTAGTGGGTGTCGGCACGTCTCGTACTCTTGTGTGTGTACTCGCAGAAAACGGGTATCTACGAGACACACGAACAAAATCGCCTCGGACACTCCAGTTCTTTTCCGTCGCCGTCGGAGTCCTCTTTTTCTCTCTTCTGCTACTGCGCCGAGAGAGAAAACGCGACTGATGATGTGCAGGTATATATTATATTGTAATATTTATATATGGATCATTCCGCTAAAGACGGTGTACTTTCAACATCAGCTTTCAATGTCGATTACAACGTCGTCGTGCATAAGGTACATGTACGTACGGAGATCTCTTAATCTGAAAACTTTCTTAAATAATCAAGGAATAAGTATTTTTGCTAATGGCACAACGGAATTCAGATCATAAACGAGTATTGCTTTTTTAGTTTCAAATGCAAAAAGGGGACTAAATATTTATTAGTGTTACGGGCTCGTGACTCATTTGAAAAAATTGACAGTTTTTACGACTCCTGGAATCAAAATGCGGATTTTTTTATTTTTCTCTCGTATAGGTAAAATCTGACAGTTATTAAATTGAACAACATTTTTGAAGATGAGAGCGAAAAAACATTGTATCCAGTACTTGAGTGCTGTTTCACTTGCTTGACAGAGAAATCTGAAAAATTTATTGCAATATTCCGTTGGAAAATATTCTCGCAAGTGCAAGCAACTAAATTCTTACGTTTTGTATTCTACTAAGTTTCAGTGTTTTCGGCATGTTAACCATACCACTAGCGCCAAAAGTCAATGGGAGTCCCCGTGAAGTGGCAAAAGTTGGAACCTTACAAAGATGCAATCGACTATTCTAAGCCATAGGAGTGAAAGAGACAGAGCTAATGACGGTTAACACTTAACACCACGAATTGCAGAAATTTGTTTCGATTTTTCCGTAAAAGCCATCAGTGCTACAGACTGTAGTCTACAGTCTCACGAATTCGTAATATGAGTATAGTGAAAAATAAGAGCCCGTAACGCTAAATAATGTCATGTAAGTATCTTCGCGAAATATGTCGTTGAGTTACCGATTCGGAAAGTGGTGGGTTAAAATATTTATTTGTAACTGTTATGCAAGTACATAATTAATATAATTAGGTGCAAAAGGGTGAAGTTTCGTTTTCTTTTGCTGTATCACGATCTCGATTTTTCTCGACGACTTTACAAGAACCCATGATGATCCCCACAATGTATATGGAAGATTTTTTTTTAGTATAGGGTCCAAACAATTACGACTTGCTTTGGTCACTAAGAATCAAAGAAAAGTCTTTAAAAAATTCAAAATCACTTTTCAGTCTTGAAAATATGTCGTTTTTCGTGGAATGATCCACATCAACTATGGTTAGATTATCCTGGTCGCAAGTATACCTATGTATATGCAGTGAATCACAAAATACATTACGAACACTACACTGCACGCAGCTGTTGATGGTGGAACAAAAACAAACGCAACCCTCGGGCCGCAGAACGGGGTGCGGGTGCGGGACAGCGGGACTGTAGGAATGTGTGTGTGTGGGTGTGTTAACATTTACAACGACCGCACATTCGCACTTTCGCACAGCACACCGCAGTCCTAGAACTTACTCATGCAGCTTACATTAGATGTTTCCGGTTAGTTTGTGTTTGAATTTTGCTGTACCGATAACGATTCATGTGACAGTTTCTGACCACAGGTAAAATGGGAGCTATTCACATAGACATTTTTTGCTTATTTCATTGCGGAGCTATTCACATAGACATTTTTTGCTTATTTCATTGTGAACGTTCATATTGAAAAGGGGGTTCCACTGTTCCGCTAAACTCAAAGTGAGTGAACAGACTAAACAGACCTATACCTCTTTTTCCATCAGGCAACAAAGCCTATGGTCGCAACTATGTTGACTGACAGAGAACACAGTATAGGTCTGCTCAGTCTTTTCACTCAATTTGAGTTTACCGGAACAGCGGAACCCCCTTTTTAATATGAACGTTCACAATGAAATAAGCAAAAATGTCTATGTGAATAGCTCCTATGAACGTTCATATTGAAAAGGGGGTTCCACTGTTCCGCTAAACTCAAAGTGAGTGAACAGACTAAACAGACCTATACCTCTTTTTCCATCAGGCAACAAAGCCTATGGTCGCAACTATGTTGACTGACAGAGAACACAGTATAGGTCTGCTCAGTCTTTTCACTCAATTTGAGTTTACCGGAACAGCGGAACCCCCTTTTTAATATGAACGTTCACAATGAAATAAGCAAAAATGTCTATGTGAATAGCTCCTATGAACGTTCATATTGAAAAGGGGGTTCCACTGTTCCGCTAAACTCAAAGTGAGTGAACAGACTAAACAGACCTATACCTCTTTTTCCATCAGGCAACAAAGCCTATGGTCGCAACTATGTTGACTGACAGAGAACACAGTATAGGTCTGCTCAGTCTTTTCACTCAATTTGAGTTTAGCAGAACAGTGGAACCCCCTTTTCAATTTGAACGTTCACAATGAAATAAGCAAAAGCATGTCTATGTGAATAGCTCCATGGTAATGAAATTGGCTAGTGCTGGTACACTTTTTGGTACTTATGGTTTTTTTGTTCCCAACTTTGAGTAAGAAATATATAGACATATAAGAAAAATAGACTGCTCGTTTTTATGTACAGTGGAGGCCGTTTAATTCGTTGAGCGAGAAATTCAAACATGGAATTTCCATTGGCTGATTCGATCAAATAACTTCTTTCATTGGTTAATTTTATACTTCTCACTCAACGAATTAAACAGCCTCCACTGTACAATGCATTTTCCGTCTGTTATATTATAAAAGACTCCGTGGTTACAGGATTATTGAGTTAAAGCGCACTTTTGAATTTCGCGCGTGTATGCATGTGTAGCAATTAATCTGTTTTTATGCGCTGTCGGTAATGTCGGTATCGGTAACATTCACTTTTCGTTAGGGTATATTATAAAAAATAAAAGTTTGACCATATAGCTAACTGATCAGACTCTTAATGCACCGGTAAACGATACTAACACATTATCATAGAGATAGTTTGCATATTTATATTGTCTATAAAAAATGGTTTTCATGTTATTATTCTACAGCTTAATTTCTATAACAATACAAATCTTCTTGTCAAATTCCTCGCTAACGAACAGTTCATCAGTTATTGGTTAAACAATACATTAACAATCGACATTTTTTCTAAAATAAGTATTAATTATTGACAGAGGATTTCATGTATTGTAGAAATAAAATAATTGTTGAGTTGACTGCTTTTTTAAGAGAATTTCTCAAGGGTGCAAACTAAAGGTACCGGCTGCTGCTGAACGTTGAGTGTATACTTACTTACAAAACAGCAATGCCCTAAATTTCATTGCCATCAGCCAGATGCTCTGTGAAGTTAACCTCGACGCCACGGAAAAGAAGTTGCGGATTGGCCGTTTTATTGTCATTACACTGGAAAATGCCCCCAAAGTGCAAATTCCAAGAAGGTAAGTCGTCGTAAATATTTAAAATCCTAGTAAGCTCATTTTTTTTAACATAAATCTTTAGTATCTGTTTTTTTTATCTTTAGTTAAGTTGCTATTTGGAAGCTGCTTTTGAAAATAGATTCTCTTGTAGCTTATAATTTTTTAAAAATGTTTAATTTGTTTTTCCAACAACCCTCGTGAACCTTTAATATATCTTCATTTATGTCACTTTTAGGTGAAAAAGTCTTGTGCTTTCATGGTCCACTTATTTATGAAGCCAAGTGCTTGAAGTCCTCCTTTTCAAAAGAAGATAAACAGATCAAATATTACATTCATTACGCCGGCTGGAGTAAAAAGTGAGTGGGAATTTAATGAAAAATCATTATTTCATTCAAATTATTAACCACCTTACTTATTGCACCATAATGATTTTTAGTTGGGATGAATGGGTACCAGAGGATAGAGTATTGAAGTACAACGACTTCAACGTGCAAAAGCAAAAGGAGGTGCAAAAAGTGCATGATCACCAGATAATCAACAAACCAAGAAAAAGTAGTGGCTCGTTGAAGGTTCACGGACGAAAAAGCGAAGGCAGTAGGGATAAAGAAAGGGAGAGTAATAGTAGAGCGAGCACACCTGTAGCAATTTTGGAAAGAACTCCAAGCCGGGCTAGTAAGTCTGGAAGTGCACTGACACCAACGTCCTCAAGCGATTCACCACTGGAGGCACCACGCAAAAAACGAGGGTACGTGGATTCGGTTTTTCAACATTTCTTTTGCTATTCAGAAACAACTAGTAATGTTTACACTTTTCAGGCGACCAGAGCCTTCGGATGATACAGAAGAATACTCTGTCAAGTCAGAAATAAAAATTTCAATTCCTAATGGTTTAAAATGCCACCTCATAGATGAACGTGATGTTATAACAAAGCAAAAGAAATTGCCTTCTCTACCCATGAGTGTCACTGTTGACAAGATTTTAAATGATTATGTAGAAGCAGTTAATAGCGGAAAAGTCAATGGACTGAACAAGTAAGAGATAAACATGAATGATAATTTAATTAAAAATACAATGGTATGTTTCATTGTAATGATTTTTCCTCTAGAGAAAGCGCTGTAGAAGTATCTAAAGGAATCAAAGAATATTTTAACGTTTCAATAAACTTGCGACTCTTATATGCTTGGGAAAAACCTCAGTTTGAAGAAATGGTTCCAGAAGATTCTGAAATTTCACCTAGTAGTTTATATGGACCATATCATTTACTCAGATTATTTGGTAATTATTGTGATGTATTACATACATGGAAATGTTTATTTTACTAGTGTTTATTTCATTACAGTAAAACTTGGAGAAATGCTGTCTTATACATCACTAGATGACAAGAGCATTCAACTTTTATTGACACACTTTGATCACTTTTTACAATATTTACAAAGTAACAGTGCAAGTCTTTTCAATTTGCAAGATTACAAAGATCCGTTACCGGAATATGACAAAAAAATGGCAAAATATGTAAGCAATAATACGGAAAACACAAGCTAGAATTTTATATCTTCATGTCTGGGAAAAGATTGGTTTCAATTAATGAAAAGTTTACAGGTATTACTTCAAAAGCTATCATTTATTAAAAACAGCTAAATTCCTCGGCTTTAAATTTATGATCTCATGAGCGTGTCATGTAGGTCTGCTGCGGCGGACAAGTACACTAATAAAGTGTACAAGACAAACAAAAATATACTCTAAAAACTTTAATTCAATTGAAATCACAACGTTCAAGCAGCCCACTGTTTTATCAACAGTAGCTACATTTTTTAAATATATTTTTCACGATACTCATATTGATTTTGTATTCTTTTGTAATTTTTTTCATATCGAACCTAAAACTATCATCTTTTATTGGTGTTACTAAGCAAAAAATTTGTAACATAATTGTTGATTATGTGTAATTCACTGTATCAAGTCTATTTTCTTTGTATTGTTTGAATCATCGTCACGCTATATCGACATTTTGTTTGAGTATAAAAAAATGTAATCAAAACAAAACTTGATGAGAAAAAAACTTATTTGAATTAATGTATATTTTAAAATGGTAACCATTTTACAATACTGATTGTATCTACATAACTACGAATTAGGCAAATTGTTCGTGGTTGAGAGAACATAATACTGTGTTGGAATGATTACATCAACGATGAAATGAACATGACAGTAACGTAATAAAAAAAAAAACTCGAATACAACAATATTGTATACTTATTTGTACAAAAAACTTTGTGTTTATTTAAAAAGGATAATACAACCAATTTTTGTTATGAATCAATTATAATTCATTGTTCATGTGGTCTTTGATTTGGAAACCTGTTGATACAAATCCGCCCGAGGTGATGTTTTGATTAAACTAAGTTAGCTTCCGCACGATNTTATCGACAACGGATGGACAATACACAGCAGCATTGTAAATGCTGACATGATAGTATAACTGAATCTCCGACCGCGTGGCGGCATACGGTTAACACTATTCGCCAAAATTCATGAATATCGTCGTTTGTGAAATACCGAAGGGTTAAAACGAAAAAAAAAGTTGGGTGTTGATTAGAAAAACGGTTTTTCCGCCGGATGCATCCACTTTCAATTCTCCCAACGATTCCTTGATCCGATCGCTGTTTCTCCGATTCGCTCCCGCATGTGGCGAAAAAGTCTCTGGTTAGTATATATAGACCAAATTTTTAGTTGTTGTCAGAGATGTGTGCACACCGGCTCATGACGTAAGTCTACAGTCACCCACGTGGACGGACTCGGTTTGAATAGTTTGCTACGTTGTAGTAGCTCACCGATCCGTACCTATACAGGTAAGTGAGGTAAGTAGGACGTGGTGAATGACTTGCTGGTGCGTACATATTTTTTGTTTTTATTTTAAACATTTCTGTTAAAAACCAGTGTCCCACCTCATTATTTGCGTTTCTCTCAATTCCTCTCTTTTTTTCATTTTTTCTTACAAAGGGTGAAAATTATGGAAAATCAAGAAAAACATGCGTTCAATATAATTTTCCAACATTAATCAACTTACATATTGTAATCTGTCTATTTATTATAAAATTATTTTTTTCTAGTTATGATTCGTTTAAAGAGCTTTTCATATATTTGATCATTATTTTGATTTCTCTTGAAAAATCCTTTTGTGTCCAACATATTCTTTTTTTTTATACGTACTTAAAAAACGGCTACTGAATATATAATCGTAATTATTTAATATGCCTCGAATATAGTATGATAAATTGCGTCAGCGGTCGTACGTATNAATATGTCGTTGAGTTACCGATTCGGAAAGTGGTGGGTTAAAATATTTATTTGTAACTGTTATGCAAGTACATAATTAATATAATTAGGTGCAAAAGGGTGAAGTTTCGTTTTCTTTTGCTGTATCACGATCTCGATTTTTCTCGACGACTTTACAAGAACCCATGATGATCCCCACAATGTATATGGAAGATTTTTTTTTAGTATAGGGTCCAAACAATTACGACTTGCTTTGGTCACTAAGAATCAAAGAAAAGTCTTTAAAAAATTCAAAATCACTTTTCAGTCTTGAAAATATGTCGTTTTTCGTGGAATGATCCACATCAACTATGGTTAGATTATCCTGGTCGCAAGTATACCTATGTATATGCAGTGAATCACAAAATACATTACGAACACTACACTGCACGCAGCTGTTGATGGTGGAACAAAAACAAACGCAACCCTCGGGCCGCAGAACGGGGTGCGGGTGCGGGACAGCGGGACTGTAGGAATGTGTGTGTGTGGGTGTGTTAACATTTACAACGACCGCACATTCGCACTTTCGCACAGCACACCGCAGTCCTAGAACTTACTCATGCAGCTTACATTAGATGTTTCCGGTTAGTTTGTGTTTGAATTTTGCTGTACCGATAACGATTCATGTGACAGTTTCTGACCACAGGTAAAATGGGAGCTATTCACATAGACATTTTTTGCTTATTTCATTGCGGAGCTATTCACATAGACATTTTTTGCTTATTTCATTGTGAACGTTCATATTGAAAAGGGGGTTCCACTGTTCCGCTAAACTCAAAGTGAGTGAACAGACTAAACAGACCTATACCTCTTTTTCCATCAGGCAACAAAGCCTATGGTCGCAACTATGTTGACTGACAGAGAACACAGTATAGGTCTGCTCAGTCTTTTCACTCAATTTGAGTTTAGCAGAACAGTGGAACCCCCTTTTCAATTTGAACGTTCACAATGAAATAAGCAAAAGCATGTCTATGTGAATAGCTCCATGGTAATGAAATTGGCTAGTGCTGGTACACTTTTTGGTACTTATGGTTTTTTTGTTCCCAACTTTGAGTAAGAAATATATAGACATATAAGAAAAATAGACTGCTCGTTTTTATGTACAGTGGAGGCCGTTTAATTCGTTGAGCGAGAAATTCAAACATGGAATTTCCATTGGCTGATTCGATCAAATAACTTCTTTCATTGGTTAATTTTATACTTCTCACTCAACGAATTAAACAGCCTCCACTGTACAATGCATTTTCCGTCTGTTATATTATAAAAGACTCCGTGGTTACAGGATTATTGAGTTAAAGCGCACTTTTGAATTTCGCGCGTGTATGCATGTGTAGCAATTAATCTGTTTTTATGCGCTGTCGGTAATGTCGGTATCGGTAACATTCACTTTTCGTTAGGGTATATTATAAAAAATAAAAGTTTGACCATATAGCTAACTGATCAGACTCTTAATGCACCGGTAAACGATACTAACACATTATCATAGAGATAGTTTGCATATTTATATTGTCTATAAAAAATGGTTTTCATGTTATTATTCTACAGCTTAATTTCTATAACAATACAAATCTTCTTGTCAAATTCCTCGCTAACGAACAGTTCATCAGTTATTGGTTAAACAATACATTAACAATCGACATTTTTTCTAAAATAAGTATTAATTATTGACAGAGGATTTCATGTATTGTAGAAATAAAATAATTGTTGAGTTGACTGCTTTTTTAAGAGAATTTCTCAAGGGTGCAAACTAAAGGTACCGGCTGCTGCTGAACGTTGAGTGTATACTTACTTACAAAACAGCAATGCCCTAAATTTCATTGCCATCAGCCAGATGCTCTGTGAAGTTAACCTCGACGCCACGGAAAAGAAGTTGCGGATTGGCCGTTTTATTGTCATTACACTGGAAAATGCCCCCAAAGTGCAAATTCCAAGAAGGTAAGTCGTCGTAAATATTTAAAATCCTAGTAAGCTCATTTTTTTTAACATAAATCTTTAGTATCTGTTTTTTTTATCTTTAGTTAAGTTGCTATTTGGAAGCTGCTTTTGAAAATAGATTCTCTTGTAGCTTATAATTTTTTAAAAATGTTTAATTTGTTTTTCCAACAACCCTCGTGAACCTTTAATATATCTTCATTTATGTCACTTTTAGGTGAAAAAGTCTTGTGCTTTCATGGTCCACTTATTTATGAAGCCAAGTGCTTGAAGTCCTCCTTTTCAAAAGAAGATAAACAGATCAAATATTACATTCATTACGCCGGCTGGAGTAAAAAGTGAGTGGGAATTTAATGAAAAATCATTATTTCATTCAAATTATTAACCACCTTACTTATTGCACCATAATGATTTTTAGTTGGGATGAATGGGTACCAGAGGATAGAGTATTGAAGTACAACGACTTCAACGTGCAAAAGCAAAAGGAGGTGCAAAAAGTGCATGATCACCAGATAATCAACAAACCAAGAAAAAGTAGTGGCTCGTTGAAGGTTCACGGACGAAAAAGCGAAGGCAGTAGGGATAAAGAAAGGGAGAGTAATAGTAGAGCGAGCACACCTGTAGCAATTTTGGAAAGAACTCCAAGCCGGGCTAGTAAGTCTGGAAGTGCACTGACACCAACGTCCTCAAGCGATTCACCACTGGAGGCACCACGCAAAAAACGAGGGTACGTGGATTCGGTTTTTCAACATTTCTTTTGCTATTCAGAAACAACTAGTAATGTTTACACTTTTCAGGCGACCAGAGCCTTCGGATGATACAGAAGAATACTCTGTCAAGTCAGAAATAAAAATTTCAATTCCTAATGGTTTAAAATGCCACCTCATAGATGAACGTGATGTTATAACAAAGCAAAAGAAATTGCCTTCTCTACCCATGAGTGTCACTGTTGACAAGATTTTAAATGATTATGTAGAAGCAGTTAATAGCGGAAAAGTCAATGGACTGAACAAGTAAGAGATAAACATGAATGATAATTTAATTAAAAATACAATGGTATGTTTCATTGTAATGATTTTTCCTCTAGAGAAAGCGCTGTAGAAGTATCTAAAGGAATCAAAGAATATTTTAACGTTTCAATAAACTTGCGACTCTTATATGCTTGGGAAAAACCTCAGTTTGAAGAAATGGTTCCAGAAGATTCTGAAATTTCACCTAGTAGTTTATATGGACCATATCATTTACTCAGATTATTTGGTAATTATTGTGATGTATTACATACATGGAAATGTTTATTTTACTAGTGTTTATTTCATTACAGTAAAACTTGGAGAAATGCTGTCTTATACATCACTAGATGACAAGAGCATTCAACTTTTATTGACACACTTTGATCACTTTTTACAATATTTACAAAGTAACAGTGCAAGTCTTTTCAATTTGCAAGATTACAAAGATCCGTTACCGGAATATGACAAAAAAATGGCAAAATATGTAAGCAATAATACGGAAAACACAAGCTAGAATTTTATATCTTCATGTCTGGGAAAAGATTGGTTTCAATTAATGAAAAGTTTACAGGTATTACTTCAAAAGCTATCATTTATTAAAAACAGCTAAATTCCTCGGCTTTAAATTTATGATCTCATGAGCGTGTCATGTAGGTCTGCTGCGGCGGACAAGTACACTAATAAAGTGTACAAGACAAACAAAAATATACTCTAAAAACTTTAATTCAATTGAAATCACAACGTTCAAGCAGCCCACTGTTTTATCAACAGTAGCTACATTTTTTAAATATATTTTTCACGATACTCATATTGATTTTGTATTCTTTTGTAATTTTTTTCATATCGAACCTAAAACTATCATCTTTTATTGGTGTTACTAAGCAAAAAATTTGTAACATAATTGTTGATTATGTGTAATTCACTGTATCAAGTCTATTTTCTTTGTATTGTTTGAATCATCGTCACGCTATATCGACATTTTGTTTGAGTATAAAAAAATGTAATCAAAACAAAACTTGATGAGAAAAAAACTTATTTGAATTAATGTATATTTTAAAATGGTAACCATTTTACAATACTGATTGTATCTACATAACTACGAATTAGGCAAATTGTTCGTGGTTGAGAGAACATAATACTGTGTTGGAATGATTACATCAACGATGAAATGAACATGACAGTAACGTAATAAAAAAAAAAACTCGAATACAACAATATTGTATACTTATTTGTACAAAAAACTTTGTGTTTATTTAAAAAGGATAATACAACCAATTTTTGTTATGAATCAATTATAATTCATTGTTCATGTGGTCTTTGATTTGGAAACCTGTTGATACAAATCCGCCCGAGGTGATGTTTTGATTAAACTAAGTTAGCTTCCGCACGATATGCCCACGTATCGCGAAAAGCCGATGCTGACGTGCGTGCTCGCTCTCTATTTGCATGTGAATAAACATAGTTAGACATCCAACAAAGGATCGAGCTCTTCCCACGTGATCACTACTGAGGATCTGCTATAAAATTGGTTTTTCAAAGCTGCGCCCTATGCAAATGTGGCATCAAAAGTTATGCTAAACTATTGACAGAACAAAGATGATGCCGATTTTTGGATGCAACCGATTCACCTTGTAAATCGCTAGATCTTTATCATTTGTTATAGCAAGCGAGCGTCGAGATGTGATTTTCTTTTTCCCTTTCCTGCCAAGTATTTCATAGCTTACGCCAACGTACTCCTAATATTTTGTCTGTAAATGTGTAATGTAGGCCATTTATTTGTTTGATCAAGCCCTTGAGTGAGTCAATTTGTTTTCTTTCAGACGAGCTTTTCTAAATTTTGTAACGTTAAGTACTAAAGGCTTTTCTCATTTTGCAGTTTATGGATTGTGGAAGTATACGCTAAGTTTGTCACCCTATCAAGAATACAGTTTAGCGCTACTTAGTGACACGTTTCAGGGGAAATACGAGTACGTAAATGTAATAATTACAATTTTAGATTACAGCATGAGATTATGCAATCACAAGTTTGTTATTACTGTGAATATTTTTGAAATCTTTCATCCAGAACCCGAGGGTGAATAAAACGAGAGTCGTCGAAATGTTTTGTTTTCGATTGGGGGCTACGCGAAAAATGCGCTTTAGGATAATAGTAAAGCTCGGTCGAATCGATCGCTCAAGTACGTGACTTGTATCACGTACGTTGTATTATGCACAAGATGTTAGTGCACGTGTGTACCCCGCGACGATGATTTCAACGTTGAAAAAATATTAACGGCAATTAAATTCGATCGTAGAAGCTGGTGAGCAGCTTTTGACTTGCATGTAGGTTGACGTGCGTGTGTATTATGATTGATACCAATACCAACCGTGTCGCAACTCGTATAATATAGAACCATCTGTTTGCGATAGGGGCTAATTGTAACTGTGTTTTCATTCGTAAGCTCCTCGGTTTTGAATTCGAGACTTTTTTTTCCTGATGAACTCATTCGAACGCACACATCAAATTTCCATCAACATCAAATTAAAATGTGCAACGATAATAGTATTACATTAGGATTCGTGGATGTGCTTGCGTTCTTTTTCATCCTTTAAAAAAAAAATAATAATAATAATTAATCAGGTTTTCGCTTTTTGCTAAAAAAAAAAAAATTGTTCAAGTGTACACTTTGGAGGGTGAAAAAGATAGCAGTGTATAATAATAATAATAATAATAAAGGGACTCCCCCTTTTTATCGTATAATTTAAATATAGAAAGTGCGGGCTCGCGCGTGTGGATGCAAAAAATAAGTAGTACCATTATAAAGCCACTGCTTAGCGCTGACACTGTCTCGGCAATAATATAATGATCATAGTTTATATCAAATTACATGAAACAACATTTTTAAAGTTTAGCTCTCACCGCGCTTTTTCTCTTTTTCTGTAACGTGAGCACAACCTGCATATCATTATATTATTATTATTATTATTCCTACCACAGCATTATACGTGTAAATACATACTATATTTATTATATCTTCTTGCGGACTCCCAAGCAAAATTTGTTCACGTCACCAATGCCGAGAGTGCATAAAAAACAAAAATTGAATCAAGTATAACATTAAAACGCCAACATCGAACACTCAAGGACACCCGCCTAGTGGCAAATTAAAATAAAAGAGCTACTTATCACAAAAAAAAGAAATAACTTGTAAATCAGTTAAATGGTATCTTTAGGTTCAATAAAATTTGTAATAACTGGAAATGGCTCGAATAGCTTATAAATAAAAATTATTAACAAACATAATCTTTTACTCCAAATTTCTTGAGCTCCTAACCCTTTATACCCTAAGACCTTTAACCCTATAACCCTGTACTCTTAAGCCCTTAAACCAAACGGCCCCGGGGTTAGAGTTCAATTAGTTAATAATTTCATTGTTTTATTATCAATAAAAGGGCTAATTATTACAAAAAAAAAAAGGAAATAACTTGTAAATTATTGAAATGGTATTGGTAGGGTGAAAAAATAATTAATAATTGAAATAACTCGGTTAGCTTATACATAAAAATTATTAACAAACATAATCTTTTACTCCAAATCCCTTGAGCTCCTAATCCTTTACCCCAAGTGCTTTAACCCCCTGTGTACTCTTAAACCAAATGACTCGAGGTGTAGAGTTCAATTAGTTAATAATTTCATTGTTTTATTAGCAATAAAAGCGCTAATTATTACAAAAAAAAGGAAATAACTTGTAAATCATTAAAATGGTATTGGTAGGGTGAAAAAATAATTAATAATTGAAATAACTCGGTTAGCTTATACATAAAAATTATTAACAAACATAATCTTTTACTCCAAATCCCTTGAGCTCCTAATCCTTTACCCCAAGTGCTTTAACCCCCTGTGTACTCTTAAACCAAATGACTCGAGGTGTAGAGTTCAATTAGTTAATAATTTCATTGTTTTATTAGCAATAAAAGCGCTAATTATTACAAAAAAAAGGAAATAACTTGTAAATCATTAAAATGGTATTGGTAGGGTGAAAAAATAATTAATAATTGAAATAACTCGGTTAGCTTATACATAAAAATTATTAACAAACATAATCTTTTACTCCAAATCCCTTGAGCTCCTAATCCTTTACCCCAAGTGCTTTAACCCCCTGTGTACTCTTAAACCAAATGACTCGAGGTGTAGAGTTCAATTAGTTAATAATTTCATTGTTTTATTAGCAATAAAAGCGCTAATTATTACAAAAAAAAGGAAATAACTTGTAAATCATTAAAATGGTATTGGTAGGGTGAAAAAATAATTAATAATTGAAATAACTCGGTTAGCTTATACATAAAAATTATTAACAAACATAATCTTTTACTCCAAATCCCTTGAGCTCCTAATCCTTTACCCCAAGTGCTTTAACCCCCTGTGTACTCTTAAACCAAATGACTCGAGGTGTAGAGTTCAATTAGTTAATAATTTCATTGTTTTATTAGCAATAAAAGCGCTAATTATTACAAAAAAAAGGAAATAACTTGTAAATCATTAAAATGGTATTGGTAGGGTGAAAAAATAATTAATAATTGAAATAACTCGGTTAGCTTATACATAAAAATTATTAACAAACATAATCTTTTACTCCAAATCCCTTGAGCTCCTAATCCTTTACCCCAAGTGCTTTAACCCCCTGTGTACTCTTAAACCAAATGACTCGAGGTGTAGAGTTCAATTAGTTAATAATTTCATTGTTTTATTAGCAATAAAAGCGCTAATTATTACAAAAAAAAGGAAATAACTTGTAAATCATTAAAATGGTATTGGTAGGGTGAAAAAATAATTAATAATTGAAATAACTCGGTTAGCTTATACATAAAAATTATTAACAAACATAATCTTTTACTCCAAATCCCTTGAGCTCCTAATCCTTTACCCCAAGTGCTTTAACCCCCTGTGTACTCTTAAACCAAATGACTCGAGGTGTAGAGTTCAATTAGTTAATAATTTCATTGTTTTATTAGCAATAAAAGCGCTAATTATTACAAAAAAAAGGAAATAACTTGTAAATCATTAAAATGGTATTGGTAGGGTGAAAAAATAATTAATAATTGAAATAACTCGGTTAGCTTATACATAAAAATTATTAACAAACATAATCTTTTACTCCAAATCCCTTGAGCTCCTAATCCTTTACCCCAAGTGCTTTAACCCCCTGTGTACTCTTAAACCAAATGACTCGAGGTGTAGAGTTCAATTAGTTAATAATTTCATTGTTTTATTAGCAATAAAAGCGCTAATTATTACAAAAAAAAGGAAATAACTTGTAAATCATTAAAATGGTATTGGTAGGGTGAAAAAATAATTAATAATTGAAATAACTCGGTTAGCTTATACATAAAAATTATTAACAAACATAATCTTTTACTCCAAATCCCTTGAGCTCCTAATCCTTTACCCCAAGTGCTTTAACCCCCTGTGTACTCTTAAACCAAATGACTCGAGGTGTAGAGTTCAATTAGTTAATAATTTCATTGTTTTATTAGCAATAAAAGCGCTAATTATTACAAAAAAAAGGAAATAACTTGTAAATCATTAAAATGGTATTGGTAGGGTGAAAAAATAATTAATAATTGAAATAACTCGGTTAGCTTATACATAAAAATTATTAACAAACATAATCTTTTACTCCAAATCCCTTGAGCTCCTAATCCTTTACCCCAAGTGCTTTAACCCCCTGTGTACTCTTAAACCAAATGACTCGAGGTGTAGAGTTCAATTAGTTAATAATTTCATTGTTTTATTAGCAATAAAAGCGCTAATTATTACAAAAAAANTTTTATTAAGTATCGGCCAATTTAGTTACTTTAAAAAGTTAAATTTATGTAGTTTGTTTATTCTATCTATTGTATAATTTCAGCAGAAGAAAAGATGACGTAATATGGTAACGGATTTCTGATTGCTGATAACTGTACATACTAATAACGGCTGCAACGACCATGAAAATTAATAAGCAAAAAGCAAATCGAATTTGTTGGGACCTATGGAACATGGGATCTAGAATGACATGTGGCGCCCCAGTCCGTGGCCAAAGTTGGAAACCTGGGAGGAAGCCTGTGGCATCAAATCCACGTAGTTTACAGATAAAAGTTAAGACATAAAGCGTAAAAGTCATAGAACATATCATTGTAAGTGACTTTCTATCCCATATAAATCAAAGTAGGCGTTTTTATACAACAGCCATTGAAAGTATGAAGAACCTACGGAAGTATGACGCAACGAACAGTTCTGGCTGGAATGTATCGAACCTTTAACGGCTGTAATGATAGAACGGAATGATTTACATGGGATGGAAAGGTATTTACTAATAAATTTACTACACGTTTTACGCTTTATGTATTATCATGAAATTCATACTTTTTTAGATATTTAATGATATTTACAGACTACGTCTATTTGATGCCCCATTGGTTTTTCCCCCGGGTTTCACTCAATCGACACCGTTTTATTCCCTCCAGGTTTTGCTCGGTGCTCACAACTTTTATTAAATGTATGAAGCTAATTTAGTAAGTCAAGTGATTTAAAATAATTTGAAATAATTAGTATTAAAAAGTATTGTAAGAATATAAATATTATTGTATTTAGTCCTTCTCTTTGCTTCCCATAACTTTTGTTACGCCAAGTTACGTTAAAAATTGTTTATATTTCATTCTATCTCATAACCCATACACCGATTCCAACTGGACCATTGTATAAAGCAACTAAATTTACTCCTACAACAATAAATGGCTAGACAAAATATATATATTTGGTAGCATCAAAAGCCAATTGCAATCAATTCAGATTATGCTGAATTCACTATATATACAGTAAGTTTAAATAAATCCATTGCATTAGAAAAATTAAAGATTTACGAGATTATAATATTACTTGTTCGTGAGCAATTAACTACCAACGTCCGAGTTGCGTTGAACAGAGTAACAGCCAGTGAGCCAGTTTATTTTTATATTTTCGTTTACGCATCAATCCCGCCTCCCGGTCCCGGCATCAAATCTATAAAAGTAGATTATTAAGGTGCGTTCACGACCCTACATCCTACATGGCCCTACATCTAGATTGTCTCGAATGGCATATGTTGCACATTGCACACTAACTCAGTGTTGTTTTAGACCGCGGTTACATGTGGCGGAAATAGTCAGCGGAAATACTTATAGGAGTTCCCCCCCAACACATCATTGTCATGAGTTACGCATTCCGCTTCCGCTGAGAAAAACGCTCATCGTGCCCAAGGAGCGTAATGGCGGAAGCTAACTTAATAATGATATAACTTTTTTCTTTGATTATTATTAAAATTTTCAGATGTGCGACCACGATCATAGCTGTGATACTTAGTCATGTTTCTATCTTAATGTATCATAAATAAGTGTTAATAATTTACATCAAATGCACAACATCGAACGTTTGCCGCTTGAAAGCCATGCCCTCATTGGATGCTGTATTTTGCTGCTATGACGCTGCCTTTCTGTTCCGCTCCATGTGCACGATGCACACAGTGCACACTTTTCATAGCGGAAAAACGCAATGGCGTCACAAATAAAACTGGTAGTGGGGGAACTTTTGTCTCTGACGCTGTGACGTTCCGCTGGCTATTTCCGCCGCATGAAGTCCGATAGACTAACTACACCTATAGGTACTGAAACCGGAGTCAGTGTCAAAGACGTCAGTGCAGGTCAGAGTTAGCGGAGCAGCTGCAGCAGCAGCGCAGCAAGGGCGAAGGCGGAGGAGGACTGCAGGGACAGTAGAATCGTCGTGTAACATACATACCTACCCAGGTGGCTAGGTAGTTGGCAGAAGGTGCGTGCCCTGCTGTTACACACCGTGTGTCCCGTCCCTCTGCCCCCGCCAATCCGTACACCTACGGTGTAATGTAACAGTGCACACATACCTATACTTAGAAGTAACACCTGCATACAAATTGAAACGAAATACAGTGTGGCTCAAGCATTTATATCAATACCTATTCACTGCATCTGACTCGAGGAAAAAAAAAAAAAAAACTAAAAGAGGAGGAACTCTCGGAGAAGAGGCCGTAGTTATATTGAGTATATACGTGTGTGCAGTGTCAGAGAAGAAGAAAAGGAGCCAGATAGTAGGCCGGGAGTTGGCAAAATAACGAAAATGGCGGACGTCGAGCTCAACATCGACAACCTGATACAGAGGCTGCTGGAAGGTACGTGTGTTTTATCACATATCTCGTACAAACGGGTGACACCAATGACCCAGGGTGCAGCGGTTATTAAAGTTTTACACGTGATTAACTTTTACACGAATACGTATACATACATTCATATATATATATATATATCCACAAATGCATATATATATATTACCCATACATTTATCCCAGACCCTGCAGATTTCTCAGCATGCGCGTGCGTGTAAACATTTATATAGCTAGGTATACCTAAGGGCGAGGCCTTCGCCAAGGCCTTCTGGTATTCAAAGAATCGGTTCACACTTACATGATGCATGTACACTAATCTTTCGTACCTACATACATTTTTTATTAATAACATAATTATCGTGCAGGAAAATGTACCTGTACTTATGACCCTCTTATGCTCGCCCTCAACTTTAACGACGCCCTTAAGCTCTACTGCTACTGCTCTTACCTTGACAGCTGCAGGTGTAATTTTACTATCCTATAAGTACCTCTTTTTTTTTTGTTGTTTTGAGAGGCTATTGCAGATATATGTCTGTTAAACACATGGTCGGGGAAGCGAGGGTAACACAAGTAGATCATTTGAATTTTAATGAATGTATTGTTGGTTACATTGTGAGATAATACCGGAGCGGTACGTGTACAAACTTACTGTTTTTGGAGCACATGCGGACGCGAGCGAGAAATAGGCTGAAAATTACAGTACATTTTCAGTAGCCTCTATCTCGTTTTTCCTCACGAGCTTCGATGCACATACGTGGTCTTCATCGCTCTCCGTTCTTCTTAATCTTCTCCTTGGCTTTTTTTTCCTCTAGGTTTTACTACTCCATTCCCGTATTCCACGAAATGGATAGGGATAGTTACATACTCGAGTTTTGATATTTTTTTTTATTCTCTTTTTCTTTCTGAAATGCATGTAGGTACACACATTTTATGTGTATATATACTTAGTTGTTAGTTGCACTCTTTTTTTTATTTCTTCGTCTGCTAACTCTTGACTTGACCATTTTTTTTTGCGAGCAGAAGAGGGTGAGGAGGGAAAAAGCTCTCTGGAATCCTATTATTGCTGCAGTAAACAGTTGGGTTGAGGATTTTCTCTCTCTGTGAGCATTTATCGACGTGTGCTTCCGTGTCGGGCTTTTAAAGTTTTCGACTTGCGTTCGTGTATATACGTTGTATATTGTGTGTATATACATCTGACGACAACTGGTATACTGCTGAACGGAGCGAGCGAGGGAGAGAGATGTTACATTTGCTCTGATGGATCAATATTTAAACACACCAGTTCATTTGAGACTTTTAACACGTTGATTAGGAAAGTTTTTTTCTCCCTTCTCTCTTTCTTTCAATTTTACACTGCTAAGGTGTTAAGCACTCTAGCTGTACATGTATGTTTAATTGAAGTTAAAATTTAGTTCTTCAAAAAGAAAAAAAAAAATTCTCGTTATCAGAGACTCCTGCACTGGTGTTATTTGTGCATTAATCTTGAAAAAAAATGTTGGAACATGATCTTTTATGCATATTTATATTAATGTCATTGAAATGAGATCTCGTTATTGACATGTGCACTTGTTTGTGTGGTCAATGACTTCTATTATTACTCTAATAAATAGACAACGCAGACTTTCATGGATGTATAACAATATCGTACTCATAAAATAAATGCATGAATGAGGTTTTTTTTTTTTAAGTTTAATTTTATCACATTAGAAAAATCTATAGTAAATATTTTAAAAAGTTTTGCAGTTGATCGCAGATGGATACAATTTATTGTATTAATTTGCATGGAATTGAATTGTTACTATAATGAAATGTGCTTTTCATTTAGGACTGATCATTATGATTTAAAAAAATTTTTATGAGAAATAAAGAACGAGGAAATTTAATACTAATTAAATACTTATTAAATGAAATTACGATACTGCCATCCACTTTTTTATTTTTTTTAAACGATCTTCTCTCTTTTTTCTTTTTCTCTTACGGCACTTGCACTGGACATTAATCCGGTAAAGTTTACCAGCAACAGAAAGATAGTGATCAACAAGTTCAGATTCAAACAGTTCAGAAGAAAGCCAAGCTTAAAGATAAGATTTTTTCTTCCGAAAAAAGCGGTATGAAAATAAAACTAATAAAAAAAAAAAAAAAAAATCAATTAAAAATTTACAAGTATGGCTTTCCAGAGTATCCCTTTTATTTAGTCGCTACTATTATTCTATCCTTTGCTCTTCATGCCTTTACCATGTCATTTCTGTAACTTATTGTGCATGCCCAGCTCAAAGACTTTGTTTTCAATTGGTTAATTTGTCAATTAAAGAGGCTTCAAGCATAAACTACAATAATCGTTCTTCAAGTACCGAGACAGTAATTTACATCTTCATGTCTATATCATTCTATATTTTTGTACCTGCATTTTGAGTAACTTGATTAAACTGGGAGACCAGTTGAATATTGTAAAAACCAAACAGTTGTATCAAGCATTGACAAATTTATTACTTTTTACTATGCTTTTTTGTGTTTTGTTGAAATTTTTGTATCGCTTTTTACACATAATATTAATTTGTATAAGCAAATATGTCAAAGTAATTATGTTTAAAAAAACCATCCTAAATCTCTGTACTGAAAGTTCTCTTAGGATAACAATATCTCATGAAGAAAACAAAAAGCAACAAAAAAAAAAACTATTTATTTTAATAATTTTTAGCTTTCTTTTTCGCCAACATTTATCTGTTGGTAAGCTAGCCTTGACAATGTTGATATTTTTCCAATAGCCAACGCGATAGCAATTCGAGCGTGTAGTAAAATTCTTTATGGTTGCTAATAAACTATAAATATACTTAGAGGTAACCAGCTTGTGCCTTGCAACGCACATCATACGCATTCTTTTTCCCCTTTATAAAACGTAATTTTATTTTCTGATCAATCAATCTTTAAATTGCCATGAAAGTTTCTCCCTTAAGGTGAAATTCATTCTAAAAATACATCATTTCATCATATTCATTAAATGAAAGTTCCTCACTAAAGGTGGAATTCATTTAAAAATACATCATCCCATCATATTCACAAAGTAAAAAAAATTTATCAAAGAATTCATTATTAAACAAAATGTCATCGTTGTAATACTTATAGAGTTGAATTAGTTTGTCCCACCTGTTCTAGAGGTAAATTTATATCTGAAGTACAAGCCTTTCTAGTAGATTTGCAAGCCTCAATTAACTTTGCAAGAAGTGTCTCACAGAACACTCACCCAATTTCTTTCCTTTGCTTATTTAAACGCTTGGAAGATGTAAACAGCAAAGATAAGATAAAAAATGTATGTCATCCATACATGTGTATGTATTTTTGCTGCAAAGCAATAAATAATGATAAATTGAAAAGTCATATGCTTGTTCTTTGAGACACAAAGAACATTGTGTATCGATCACAGCTAGAAACTATCTGATGAGTGTATAAGCCAAAAAAGCCTTATTTTCATACAACATCACTGATAACTCCAACCCACAAAGTATGATCATGACATTTTCCTTCAACAGTTCGAGGATGTCGACCAGGAAAATCAGTGATTATGACAGAGGCAGAGGTACGAGGGCTCTGCTTGAAGTCCCGCGAAATTTTTCTGCAGCAGCCGATACTCCTGGAGCTCGAGGCTCCGCTCAAGATCTGTGGTGACATCCACGGCCAATACACGGATCTCCTACGGCTATTTGAATACGGTGGCTTCCCACCCGAGGCGAACTATCTCTTCCTAGGTGATTACGTCGATCGGGGTAAACAGTCCTTGGAGACGATATGTCTTCTGCTGGCTTACAAGATCAAGTATCCGGAGAACTTCTTTCTGTTGAGAGGCAACCACGAGTGCGCCAGCATAAATAGGATATACGGCTTCTATGATGAGTGCAAGCGCAGGTATAACATAAAGTTGTGGAAGACGTTTACGGACTGCTTCAATTGCCTGCCGATTGCGGCTATCATCGACGAAAAGATATTCTGCTGTCACGGTGGACTAAGTCCCGATCTTCAGGTAGTGTCTAATTATTTAGTGTTTCAATTTGATACGAAAATGAATAAACATTGAAAACAGCTTGCTTATCTTGTGATTTTTTACTTTTAGGGTATGGAGCAAATAAGACGAATCATGCGCCCTACAGATGTACCTGACACTGGTCTTCTCTGCGATTTGTTGTGGTCGGATCCTGATAAAGATGTCCAGGTAAATTTATCATGAATACTTTTAAAAAATTGCCAAACTGACATCGCTTTTTTTAATGATTCTTCACGAATAAATCAAATGATCAAGATTATTATTTTGAACTACGACAAATTAAAGATTTCAAGTCTGATAATAAAGCGCTGATTAACGAATTTAATATTATATTGTTACCTAGGAAAAATATATAATATCCGCTCTACAAAATGTAGCAGTCATCCAAATTTTAAAGTCAAATTAAAGTTATAAATGTATTCACTGCTATTTTAAGAAAGTTTTGATTCCTGCCAAGACTGAATGTATTGGAACAAAACTAAAAAAAAAAACAAGAAAAAATTAAGAACTTAAAAAAAAATGCTTTCAGGGCTGGGGAGAAAACGACCGAGGCGTATCATTCACCTTTGGACCAGATGTGGTGTCAAAGTTCCTGAACCGTCACGATATGGATCTGATCTGTCGAGCACATCAGGTCGTCGAGGACGGTTACGAGTTCTTCGCCAAGCGTCAGTTGGTCACTCTGTTTTCGGCACCCAACTACTGCGGTGAATTCGACAATGCCGGTGGCATGATGAGCGTCGACGAGACCCTCATGTGCAGTTTCCAGGTGAGAACAGAAAGATGATCGTTCTCACCATGAGAATCATACCTCGAAATCAATGACTTGAGTTTTTCTACGTGTATATTTTTGTGGTCGCCTATTAATAGGTGGCACAAATTTTAGGCGCTTCGGTTAAAAATAGTAGTAGCGCGCTCGCGCGCTAATAACATTGACAATTTTAAATTGTGAAGAGCGCAGGAAAGCCAAGTAGGTTTTCAGAGTCTAATATTTTCGACCAAATGAGAACACTATCTGTTTTGATGTAATTTTTTTGTCTGATGAGGAACTTGATGTCAGGGAAATCGGTAGCAACTTTACGTTCAAATGCAACAGTTTTAGTGAAGTACATTGTAAAAGATAACGATGTAACTTTTCGATTGCAGATTCTCAAGCCATCAGAAAAAAAGGCAAAATATCAGTATGGTGGCATGAACGCCGGACAAGCAGGCAGTCGGCCATCGACTCCACAAAGGAATCCGGCGAAGAAAAAATGACCACCCACGGCCGAGCCCGCATAGCCACAAACATTGGCGTTCTAGACAGGTGAGGCCGAACTTGAGCTTGACCTATTTTTAATGTATCGATCTCGCGCTCGACCTGGGAATTCACCCTGCTATTCCAATGCTGTAAATATAACCGACTTTTCCCTTCCCCTTCCTCTTTGAACTTGAGCACTGGTGTACATTAAATATTTAAATTGCAAGCGATGTTTCGTTGTATTATCGGCAGAACGTTAACTTTGGTAATTATTTCGATGTAACATTTTTAACGTGCGTTATTACTTGAATTGATAATTATTTATTGTTTGGAGAATAAGTTGTAAAATTTAAAATCTCATATGTCGCTTGAAACTTTTTTAATAAAATAGTTGAAAAAATTTCTCATTAGTCTGTAATCATTTAAGAATGTCCAGAACAAAATTAATTAGAACTTTTTCAGTTCCAGGACGTCAAGATACCAAACCCTAAATACCGATTCGTCAGCTTAAACGTATAAAAAAAAATCTATCCTTCCTTACAATTGCATCATATACGTTTGAAATGGTAATTGGGCAAACTTATACTCCTACTTATCGAAAAACTAAAATAGTTTCAGACAAAGCAGTAAATTATGAAATCGTGGAATTCGTTGTTCTTTTTGTTCCATTATTTTTTACTACTCTAATAATTATGATTGGTTTAGCGACAAAAAGTCGTTAATGTATATGCATCCGCAAATACACATATATTCATGAGCATCGTGCGTTCGTGTTTATAGTGTCAATTATTTTTCTCTAAATATTTTTTCCTATTCAATAATTGGTAAAAATGCTTTGAAGTAAACCAATCTTGAATAGCAGTGACTATTTTGAAAAAATTTTAATACCCTGTTGCTATGATGTTAAAAATTTTAGCAGTACTGGACGTGAGAAATAATTCAAGTCATTATTTTCATTAAATGTTTGTGCAAAGATTGAGTCGAATTATTTTTAATTATTTTTTTTTTAGCAAAGCTAATAATTTAACTTCGGAAAAGGTCTTTTTAATGTTTTACATGAAAATTACTTTTTTAAATCTTTATTGTTAAATTTGTATTAATCAATAAAGTGTGTTGATGCCTCTTATGATAAATCTCACCATAAAAGAAAAAAAGATAATCACATATAGCTGTGTAATCATTGATGTTTTCGAGATTTAATTTTCAAGGCACACTAATGATGTATTATTAACTGTGTTGTATTCCAAGTGAATCAAAACAGTCTTTAATTAGTAATTTTTTTCATACATTGATTGATGAAGGAGTGTCCATAGACGAATTCATGTAATCTACAATATACGTCAAAGTTGTAAAGATTATCTCCAATTTTATATTCGTGCTGTAATTTTTATCGTTTAGAAAAAAGTTTTACAGAAATTCTGTATATGTTAATTAATTAATATTTTAAAAAGAGATGAATTCAAATGCATGTACATTTGCTTTTGAAGGTGAGGCCGAACTTGAGCTTGACCTATTTTTAATGTATCGATCTCGCGCTCGACCTGGGAATCCAACAGTTCAGAAGAAAGCCAAGCTTAAAGATAAGATTTTTTCTTCCGAAAAAAGCGGTATGAAAATAAAACTAATAAAAAAAAAAAAAAAAAAA